GAGCAGATCTCCCTCCAAGGCATCGTATCCCGACAAGAGCATCGCATTGGGGAACTGCGACATGTGATGCAGAGAATACCAGGGCGACATGCAAATAAGAGTAAGTCTTCTCATCACCGGTGCTGCCAAACATCGCCCTGTGGGCGCGAGACACGAAACCAAGCGCGAGGTTGAATTTCTGATTTGGGTCGGCGCGTCATCTCGTCGCTTTTTGGGTGTGGCTCATTGCCAGTCTCCTTCTTCTGCACGTCCTTGTTTGATGACCTCATCATCGGGTTTCTCTCGCTACCGTATTCAAGTAGAGCGCAATGCAGGACGATGGATATGTGGTACCCATCCTCCGTCACTGGCAAGCAGATGCAGCAAGGTGTTCAGTCAAGACTTTCCGACTGTGCAATGAACTGATTGTGGTCCTTCTCAGAGAACAGAAGACCGTGGGTGCGTACGAAGACAGTGGTGATATCCATAGCTCCGGTCACCTCCTTATCGTAGAGATGTACGGTCATGGCGTTTAGAGACTCCTGCTTCCCACAGTCGAGCTCGTCCGAGTCGGGAGTGGGGAGGTCAATCATCACCATGTCGAAATCCTCTGCATCGGCTCTCGAGGCCACATCTATCATGTAGGCGGACTCCGAGTGGTCAAGCTTTTCAATTCCGTCGTCTGCGCGACTCAGGTCAAGAGATATGGCCACCTCATTCGGCAACTCGATGTCAAGAGTCTCATCGAAGTCGTACGAAGTTGTGTTGACCACGGACGTTCCGGTGACCTCGTCCATATTCTGTTTGAAGAACGTCGCAAGGGAATCCCGAGCGTCTAGGAACGGGACTCGTACACAGAGAGACTTTGTGTAGAAGAAGAGCTGCTCGAGAGTGTTCGCTTTCGCACAGGTTGCTAATCCGTGATAAAGACGGCCGATCGAGGGAGACCTATGACTAGCCTTGGAGTACCATTGACGTGTAGTCGATGTCCAGGCTCTACGGTTCTCGAAGTGATCTTCTTCCATAGCGATCCTGGAGTCATCAGCAGGTGGCGGCGCCGCAGAAGCCATGTTACTCACCGGTATACACCCAGATCACCAAGATGTTCATTCCAAACATCTTCAAAGTCTGGCGCCATTTGACATAGCAGGACCATGATGAAACACGCGAAATCGATGAAAGTACACATATAGTCGCGTGATTCAGGCAAACAGCTGTTTAGTCTTTTCAACAAGGAACGTATCCCCTTCTCCCACAAACGCGCTGGCATTGCATACTTGCTCGCAAGCTCACGCAATTTTGGACTGGCAGAGTAATCCTGCGTGGTTGTCAAGAAGTCATAGTACTCACACAGAAGCGTATAATGACGTGCGACAATGTCCTCCCATTGCTCGTGACCGAGCATTGGGTCCGGTGTAGAATGTTTGGTGGTGATGTCCTTGTAGCATTCGTTCTCTTCTGCCACAAGTCTAGCATGAATGGCTTGGACTTCGTCGATAGATGCAGTCTTGGTCTCGCTATATGTGGCGGTTGTGATGTCGAGCATACTGCCCGGGGGAGGCACGTGGTCAATTGCAGGCGGCTTTAGATTTCGGCTGTGCTTCAGGTGGTCGAATTGATGCAGGTACCCGCCCGACCTATGGTACTCATGCAGGGCTTCCTCTACAGACCTCGTCACACATTGATTGTTCATTGTGCGGAAGCTGACACTATGGTCAGTGCGGTCAGTTGATCGGCCACCTTCGGCTAGTAAATAGGTCATTGTCTGCTTCAGACAGTGCTGGGCTGAGTTGTGCAAATGGCGGGTGGTGCAAAACGACGAGGATTTCGACAGATGGGACCTGAACTCTGTTGGCAGTGCGGTTCGTTGTGGTCTGGCACTTCGCCTCTCGGGAGACCAGAGCTTTTGCGTCGGAGGCAGTAGCGAGGTCTTTATACACTATGTACCCTAGTGGACACCTTGGGGGAGGGAAAGACCACAGGACGTCGCCGATCGGACTGAATCTGTGGTGCTCGGGCCGATCAACACCGGGTTACCATGACCCTAATGTATGGTGTTAAGTAGGCAGCCGCGCGAGTTAAAACGAATCACACACTTTACGGCGTCTCGAAGACGAATCTGATTAGTTTTCGTCGCCCAAGAGGGGGGAGCTATCGATCGCTAAGGCTCAGCTCCTAACCTAGCATGCGATTCAATGGAGTATGCTGGGTCGTCTTATGGCCGGCACCTTTGAGCGAAGAATGAACATAACCCCGTGAATCCTCGCACTGGACTTTTTCCTACGACATTGGCCAGGCGATCAGCGACCTGGAGACGTACCTGATTGCATGACTGCCTTCCGGGCGTGGTGGGGGGGCACTTGTGGTTCCATAGCCAAGAGTTGACTCGGTTCAAATCAGGCAGCTGCCTATAGCTGCGACGGACCCTGATCCTTGTACGGTACAACGAACCGAGTTCTAAAAAGGCGACATTGATGTCACAGCGTGCTGGTCGCTCGCACACTTAGGGAGAAGCCACCCATGGACAAAAGTACTCTTCTGTATCCGTATACCTCCAGCATCCGTCTGCCTCGCCAACAACCCAGCAGGGAGGCGTGCGGCTAGGCGTTCTCACTCTCAAGGCTTTGATCTTAGCCCTCGAAGATGTCATGCCGGTGCCATGCCCGAGTGTGTGAGTCAAGCCCGAAGCCTCGACCCTTTGTGATCAGAAAGCAGTGGCAAGGCGGGCGCGTGCTAAGTTAGCCCAACGCCCGCGGTTCCTGCCGCTTGACTCGATCACCGTACGCACGCTGTGTGTGAACAAATGGGAACACATCTGTACTGTATGTCGTGCGTTTGTTCGTCCGTTATTCTGGCAGGTAACGCGTTCATCCGTTACAAGCTCTTATGACGCAGCTGATCAGAGTATAGCCTAACATTTATTCCCCCCTCTCTTGGGAAAGGTGCTTATTGTGAGCCTCGTCATGGCCTGCCCATCAGAAACTAGAGTTGCTGATTTCGTGGTTGTGATCGCCCTACGTAACATTATGGAGCAAAGTCTACCTAGGCTGGCCAAGGCCGGTATCCCAGCTTCGAGGCAAAGCGGGAATGAAGCATCGCTTCCTGTTGGAGGGCCGTTCAAAGTCATTGTCTTGACCATGGCGTTGGCTCCAATAAAGATCGATTGGCACAAAATAGAAATGCTTGCGAACTCGGGATGGACTGATTGATGACTGAGCTCCCTGCCAGGATTGACGATGACCAATTTTGATCACTCCGGCTTTCGCTAGGCGGAATCAGCTTGCACCGCGGCGGCGGAGGGCTCTCTGTCAGGACTTGCCGTAATCAAGTCATCAAGATTCTGAAAAACTCAGGGCCCACAGCTTGGGTATGGCCTGTCAGCCGGGTGGGGTGGGATGGAGTGGGACTGAGTGGGTGGGTGTGGCTTTGGTATATCCGTAATGGGTGCTCAGGGGTTATGCTGCGTAACACCGCGGCCATGCACACCCCCTGATAACTGCGTACCGTTCTCTGCGCACTTGCACGCCCCAGTGTCTGATGGCCGCTGACACCGGGGCGTGCAAGGCGCGTTTCCATGTGCACCCATGCTATGTACTCTTGGTGTATGACCGAAACCCTTTCGCCCTATGGCCCAACACCATTTCCAGCATGGTGGACCCACCTCGACGATTTCATTACCCACAAGCTTGTCGGGCACTGACCAATGATCGTAGCTCCCTGTGCACATATACATACATAGTTTATTACGCCCCGGCTAAGCTGTTTAGGGCTCGCATGATTATCTACATATTCTCCACATTCGTTCATATCCTTGCCTCCCAGAAGCCCATACAAGTCTTGTTCGTCTCCGTATGTGTCTTTTTTAGTTTTGCATGTCGATGCTGCGGTTGCTCGTGGGGTTAGTAGCAGGCCATCTCGGAGTTGTTTCTCAAAGTGTTCGACGTCCTATCGTCGGCGGCCGAAGCTAGTCCTGCTGTCGATGGCACGAGGATGCGTGGGGGTGTCTCCGGTTAATTTGATGATGTTAGTTGCGTGTGGTTTCGCTGCTGGCTGATCTGTGCATCTAGCCTCTCCGTGCTCATGGCGAACTTGATCGTCTCTTTGACAACGTCTACGCTTGGCGACCAATCCTTAGGGTCGGACGCGCGCTTTCCTCCCAGGAAGTATGACAGATTTCCTCTCCGCGTTTCCGTCTGTTGGAGCATCCGAGTCCGCTGTGCCGTCCACTGTGTGCATCGAAAGAGAAAATGCTCTACCGTTTCTGCAGATTGCCCGCAAGCGCATAGCGCCGCGGCGGTTGCGCCGATCTGGTAGAGGTACCAGTTCAGCCTTGCCATTCCGGTGCGTAGTTGCGCTAGAATGCTGGCTTCTTTCCAGGCCAGTCCGTCATACAGCTTGCGTGTGTGGTTTCCCGGCAGGGCTATGTCGATCTTCTTCGAATATGCTCCTACGTTGTCGGGCAAGGCTCCGTGCTTCTGTCGCACGCTCTGTAAAGCGATCCTAAGTGCCGTCGAGTAGGCTCTGGCCGGCCGTTTTTGTGGTGTCTTGTTTACTTGGGTACTTTCCTTTGCTGCTGCTTTGGCCGCTTGCGCCAGGTCTGACTCTATCGATGATGGAAGCCAGAAGAGAGTGACTCTGTTGCCTCGTCTCTGCAGAGCTTGCACGCTGGCATATAGTTGTCGGATCTCTTGTTGGCCTGACTGCTGCCGCGGGTTGTGCATCACCAACACTGCCGCTTTGTTGCGGGTGAAGACGTGGATGGCCCGGTACTCGAGTCTCTCTGGGAGAGACTTGACCGCTTCTGCCAGTGCCGCTAGCTCTGCTACATACGGGTTCTGCTCCGTTCTCTGACCGAACGTACGCGAGGCCGTCACGACGCCACCGCCCCCTCTGAAAGATGCGGGCAGCGTCGTCGCCGTTCCAAAGCCCACAACCTCGTTCCTTGCTGAGCTCCCTGTCGCTATCCTCACTGCCCATCCAGACCGGATTGCCTCAGAGGCCTTGACCGTGTCGTCGTCGACTACTGTATCAATACGACGTTCCCAAGGAGCGATCGAATACCCTTCGATAGTCTCCAGCTTGTCAAGGGGTAGGTCGCGATAGGCCTCCGCCATCAACTGGAAGGGTGACGGAAACCGTCTAAAGGCCACCGCCCGCAGACGTCGAAGCGGATGGGTCTTGGGAAGGCTTCGCAGCCGTACCCAGAATGTCGTTGATTTTCTGTCGTACCTCTCTTGCGCCGATTGTATGCTTGCCTCCGCTTCAGCGACCGCCGTGGCCACCGTGTTGAAGGTTCCCACGATCGCTTGGGCGCCAATCCTCTGCACTCGGTTGATCACCCTCATCTGCGCTGCTCGACACCTGTACCTCCAGACGTTCGACGCGTAGTCCATCGTCGGTGCTACGGCCGCCACGAAAAGCTGTCTGGCCGTCGCCGGAGACAGGCCTTTGAGCCGTTTGAGCCCCAGCACGGCCTCCAGCCCTTTTGTCGTCGCGTCTGCGATGTGCTTTTCGAAACGGAGTTTCGTGTCCATCATCACTCCCAATACTTTGACGTGGTCCTTTGCTCGGACAGTGTCACCTTTGATGACGAAGCTGGTTGAGTCCGCCGGCAGCCTCCAGTTGCGCGTGAAGTGGATGATGGCCGTCTTGTCCGTCTCGAACGTCGCCCCGCTTCGTCGTTCCCACGCGAGTGCTCGATCGATAATATCTTGGATGCCCTGACGGTTTGCTTCGCGCGATCGGCCTGTGACCCACGCCGTGTAGTCATCGACGAAGGCCAGCGCGCCCCCGTTCTCGTCGATTTGGTGCTGTACGAGATCGGCGTTGAAGAAGAGGAAGAGCACGGGCGAAAGCGGCGAACCCTGAGGCAGTCCGGCTTGTGGTAGCGGACGAGCCTCGGACTCGTGACCGTTAACCAGGATGCTTGCCGTTCTATGGGAGCAGAAGGCGTCCACCCATCTCACCAGCTTGTCCGGGATCCCCCGCGCTCTGAGTCTTTGAAGTAGTCTCTCTTTGTACACACCATTGTATGCTCCCTTGACATCGAAGCTGACCAGACTGACCACCTTTCTCTTTCTCCACGCTCTGTAGATGTACTCCTGCAGCAGTACCAGCGCCTGCTCTGCCGACCTCTGCTTGCGAGCGCCAAAGTGGCTCGTGGGAAGGAGGCCGAACGTCTCGACAGCGTGCGAGATACGTTCTGCCAGGACCGACTCCAGCACTTTTCCGAGCGTCGAGAGAAGCGAGATCGGTCGCCAGGCCTTCGCTATACCGTAGTCGCTTTTGTTTGGCTTCTTCAGCGGGATGATCTTTGCGTGTCGCCACTGCCTCGGCAACACCCCTTCATCCAGTGAGGTCTGGAAGAGTGTAAGCACCCTCTCCTTCACCACTGGCCACGTGTGCTTCCACACTGCCACCGGCAGACCGTCCTCTCCGGGTGCTTTCCACGACTTTGCCGCAAAGAGCTGTCTCTCTACTTCTCCCAGTGTGAGGTTA